CCGCCTCTGGCCGCGCGTGTGCGTCGGACTCAGGGCCTCAGTTTCCCCGTCGGAACCACGAAGAGGGTAAGGCCGTCCCGGAGGGCTAAGGGCGCAAAGTCATCTTTGCCCGGAAACTAAGCTCCAGCACACCTCCTTCTCCAGGGTCCTCCGGAGGCCCCCCCCCCCTCCGGCCCAGACACACACCCCATCTCAGCCTGCGCTCCGCCCCTCGGAATTCCCGGCTCCGCAGGGGGGCGGGTCAGGCTGGGAGGAGGAGCGAGGGAAGCGGGCGAGAAAGTTTGCAACTTTTCTCCCGCTCCAGACTCGGAGCGGATGCGCGTGGCGTGCGCAGGCGCAATGAGGCGGGGTGGCCGCGCGCGCTGCGGGCCCGGCCCCGAAAGCCTGGAGTAACACAGCTGGGGCACAGCTGGCCGGGGCGGCGGTGGGCCCGTCCACTCTCTCCTATTGGCCAGACGTTGAAGCCCCACCTCCAGCCTCTCCTCCCCTCCCTGCCTGATTCGGCCACTGCACGTCCCGCTAGCTAAGCCTCAGGCCATTGGCCGGTCCACTCGCTTTTTGATTGGCTCGTCGAGTAGCTTCCCGCCCCGCAACCCAAATTGAACAGAGGCGGTGGGCTGTTTCAGGAGGACCAGAGGGATTTTTATTCAAGAGGATCGGGGGTGGGGGTCCTAGGTGGGGAAGAAACAATAAATACCGAGGAATGTAAGGGGGCGGGGGTCTCAGTGCATCCCAAACGTGGATTAGGATTAGGGGCCTGGGGTGCGGGAGCCTAAGTCGTAGGAAAAGCTCAATAAATACCCCAAACTGCCGAACGGGCGGAGCCGGCCATAGCTCCGAGAGCGTCACAAGTGAGAAGGGGCGCAAGAGTCCTCGAAAAAGCGAGGCTGGCAAAGGCAAGAGGGTACCGAGAGCGGGTAGAGTGTCGGGAGAGCAGGACCCGGTGCACCAGGCGAGTGGCTTGCGAGCCAAGTGTGAGTGGGTGGGTGGCTATAGAGGGTGAAGAACGGCCGGCCAAGCCCCTGTCCCACTGCCTTCTCTGCAGAGCAGTTTCTCCCCCGCGCCCAGCCGAAGGAAGAAGGTGGTCCGCGGTGCCCCACATCAGCCGGAAGATCCCTGCCTACGATCTCCCTCGAGCTGCGGTCTCCGGCCGCAGACCCGGCCCCACCCTCCCCGGCCGCCCGGGGACGAGCCCGGATCACAGGGTTGGCACGGGAAGCCCGGAGAACGCTTTTGGGGGCGGGCCCGGGTCATCCAGCCCTCCTGCGGAGCCTGAGTGGAGGGCAGGCTGGGGGTCTAGGGTTCAGGGGGCGAAGGGGGCTGCGGGGCGGCGCCTGGCCGGGACGAAG